TTTTTGAGATGGAGTCTCACTCTGTTGCCAGGTTGGAGTGCAGTGGCACGATCTCAGCTCACTGCAACCTCTGCCTCCTGGTTTCAAACAATTCTCCTGACTCAGTCTCCCGAGTAGCTGGGACTACAGGTGCACACCACCACACCCAGCTAATTTTTTGTATTTTAGTAGAGACAAGGTTTCACTACGTTGGCCAGGATGGGTCTCCAGCTCCTGACCTCATGATCCTCCCACCTCGCCATCTCAAAGTGCTGGGATTACAGGCATGAGCCACCAGGCCTGGCCTCTTTTCTCTTCTTATGAGACTCTTGAGCACCTCGTATTTTCTCCTCTGGCTAAAGGTAAGTAGTTCCATCATTACTTATAAAAATACTAGCAACTGCCATATTTTGAACACTTTCTAAGTATCAGGTGCTAGGTGCTTTATGTACATTATCTCAGTACATCCTCATGCAATCCTTTGCAACATTTATTGACATCCTTATTTAACAAGTGAGGAAACAGATGATCAGAGATGAGAAATGGCAGTCTATGGCCACACAGTCAGCAAGTGATAGGGCTGGGATTGGACCCAGATCCCATGGATTCCCAAGTCCTGGCTCATTCCAGTGCCTGAGACAGTCAGAAGCAGCAACTTCTTTACTCTGAGTCAGCAAAGCCATCCAAATGGAGGTGGGAGGCATGTTAGTGACTATCTCTTCCTACCTTCCTTGTTTTCACTAAGCTCAGAATGCTAAGGTGACTTTCCTGAACACACAACAAGAGTAGAACTGGGGCTGACCCCAGGCTTGCTCTTTGGGTTTATCCGCTTTGATTCTCATCCACCTATTGGGCAAAGAACATTGGAGGTGCTCTGTCTGTATTCCAAATGACCAGGGTGGGAGCTGCTCTTGAAATCAACTTATGAGAAATTATTGGAGAAACAAAGAAAAGAAAAGATCTTGAGGAGGGACATGCTGTTTATATTCACCCATTTTAGGAGGTCTAGTAGAGAAGAGAGAGCCTTGATAAGATGAGGAGGAGTGGATTTCAAGTCCAGATTATGGGAAAGCTCTAAAAAAATCCTAAACGTGGGGAGATACCACCTTCTGTACCAGTCCCTGCAAGTTTCCAAGAACAGGCCAGGGATCTATGGAGATGCTGCTATGGGTGTCCCAGCATCCAGCAGGGAATGGTCCACACCTCTAAAACTCTTTTATTGCCAAGATTCCACAAGCCTTTGAAACATACAAAAAACTTGCAGGGAAGACAAGGAGTCATCCTGCACTCTTTGCTCATTGTTCTTAGGGAAAAAAATCTTTACTGTAAAATAAATGAAGATAAAGTCTACCTATTAATGCATATTTAAGAGGTAGAGAAAAAAAGAACCCATAATGTTAACTAAAACCATGAATACTCTCTGCAGTGTAAAAAAAAAATCAACTCACTTTTCTTAAATCTTCTTAAAAGGGTCTAAGAATAGTCCTTCAAATAATTCTTGAAGTATGCAATTTTAATTTGGACACATGGTAATTTCAGTCTACCTGTTGAAAGAGACAAGAGAGAAGTCAGTCATTTTTGATGAGGATGCTGTTCTGACAAGCAGCAGAGAAGATTGTGGCAGCTTGGGAGCTGGGGATAAGGCACGGGCGTGGGCATTAGTAGCAGGAGCATGAGCTTTGGTACCACGCTGAAGGCTAGTTTTGGAACACTCAGAGGAAAGATGCAACTAAAGTAGCTACTAGCACAGTGCCTGGCACGTGGCAAATGCTCATTAAATAGTTAATGAACAAGTAAAACGATATCTGAGCAAATGAGTGGGATTTATCATCAACCTTTCATGCAGAGAGTTACTATGTAGCCTCATCTCTTTGACCCTCAACAAGAGAGAGAATTTCTAGGCACTGGGCACAGAGAAAGGTACCAGTGGAGTGAAGAGAGTGAAGGATTTGAGCTGGCCATAGCTATGCCCAAATCCTGGCCCCACAACTTCTGACTGCACAGCTTTGGGCTGGTTTATTTTACTGATGTTTGCTGTTGTTCCTAAATTGGATACTTAGCCCATTCATTAACTTTCAGCTCTTCTTCTTTGTTAATATAAGCATTTAAGGTGATAAATTTCTCTCTAAGTGTTGTCCTGGCTATATGCCACAACTTTTGGTATTTAATATTTCTTTGGTCATTCATTTATAATCATTTTATAATTTCTATTATCATTTCTTTTCGATACATGAGTTAGTTGGAAGTATCTTTGTAAATATATCTCAATATAGGTTTTTAAAAAAACATCTCATCTTTCTGTTATTGATTTCTAACTTAATTGCACTGCGGTGGGTGAATATGGTTTGTAGGATACTGACTCCTTGAAATTTATTGGATGTATTTTATGGCCTAGGATACAGTTCATTTTTGTGAGTGTTTTATATGTGCTTAGAAAGAGTGTGCATTCTCTGGCTGTCGGGTTGATCTTGGGCTGGCTTTCTTTAAATGGTTCTGCATCTCCATTTCCTCACCTGTAATAAGGTATGTGAGTGATACACTTTAGTTCCCTCACACCATTTAAAATTATATTCACAAAGACATAGAGTGCACAAGGAAAGATCGAGGTGTGCTATTTTTTCCTTATAACAATATCAGTAATGATGTCCTACATTTATAAAGTACTTAAACAATTCTTTTTTTTTTTTTTTTTTTTTGAGACGGATTTACACTTTTTTTTTTTTTTTTTTTTTTCTTTTTTTTTTTTTTTTTTTTTTTTTTTTTTTTTGAGACGGAGTTTCACTCTTGTTACCCAGGCTGGAGTGCAATGGCACGATCTCGGCTCACTGCAACCTCCGCCTCCTGGGTTCAGGCAATTCTAGTACTTAAACAATTCTAAACAATGACCACATCTGCCATTTGGTCTTAAACCTGTATAATGTCACCTAGGCAGGTAGAGGTGGGAACCCACAAAGAGAAAGGACACACACCAGTTGGTGCAGTGATCTACTCAGTCCTCAGTGCCAGAGCCCCAGGATCCCTCTGACTCGTCTCTGACCCTCACTCCTCACCCCTGCTCAGTTCAGTCTTCTTACTGTCTTTTCAAATCCATCCTCATTATCACCCGCAATGCCTACACCATTTCTTACCTGCTTGGTTTCATTAATTTCCTACTGTTTAAAAAATACAACACAGGAAGTAAATCCTGACAAAATCCTCTTGGCAGATGTGGCTCTCAAATAAGGCTGGTGTTAGGTTTTGGGTGCCAGAACATCAGTCTTGCAGGGAAGAGTGGTGTTTATGTCTATCAAAGCAGGCATGAGTTTAGAAAGGTCGAGAAACACTGTGCTGAGTTCAAATATTCTTCATCTAGCAAACAGCCCTTCCCATGACCTTGTCCCCTGTCCTACCCCCAAGTTCTTTTTCTTCTTTTCAGAGAGATTTTCTGAAAGAGCCGTCTAGACCACCACTTCCTCCACTCCCACGCTCTTCACAAATCATTGCCTTGTGGCATTCTGCCCTGGAATGTTCTCTTTAGGATCACAGGGATGTTGTCACTGCAGATTCCAGACACTTCTTCTCAATCTGCAGTAGTCTCTCCGGGTCATTTGCTAGCAGGGACCCCTCCCCTCTGGAAACTCCTGCTTCCACATCAGCAACACTAGTTTCCCCGGGTTCTTCTCCTTTCCCTCCAAGGACTTTCTCTGCCCCTTCTCAACTTCTATGGTTTGAATTGGCATTTTCATAATTCAATTAGAAGTGTTTTTATAAAATAATAACCATCAACTACCCTTTATTAGAGCATACCAATCACTGTGCTAAACATTATTTTATTCTACTTTATCTTCACAATAACCACATAAGATAGATATTATTAATATTACTATTTTAATAGATGAGAAAACAGAAGCCTGATAGAGTTACGTAATTTGCCCGGGATCACTCAGCTACTATGTGGCAGAACAGGGATTCAAACCACAACCCATCCAATCATAGGTTGTGCTCTCAGCCACTACATTAACTCATCCTACCTCCCTATACCCTGGCTTCTGAGACTCACCACTCTTCCATGATGTCATGCATTTCATGTTCCCGTTTTGCTTCCCTCTGAAGAAAGGCCTTTATCCATACTGTGTGCTGAGAAAATTCTATTTATCTTTCAAAGTCAGCTCTTCCCACAAAGCTATTAGCAAGCAAAGCCAGTTTCATTGCTCCTGTCTCTTTGCTGTGGCAGCTCTCCAATGATATCAAACCATCCATTCACCCATCTGACCATGCGTCCATCTCTCCACCCAAGAATTGCTTAAATATGCTAGAAGATTGCTTATCTAGAAGTCTAAACACAAGCAGCATCCAGACAAAGGGATTGTTCCAAAGGATTTTTTATGTTCACACCTTGAAAAAATATATCATACTATGATCAAAATTGAAGAAAACTTGCTAGAAGTTGTAGTGTTTGGGGAAAGGATGTGCTTTGTGTGGCATGTATTAATGACAGGTCAAGGATAGTCATCCATGGGACCTGGCCAGGGCGCTTTCCAAGGTTACTAAACTAGATCTGTCCAGTTTCCCTTACCCAATCCCCACATTTTAAAATCATTATTACGTATCAAGCATGGCTCATATACCTCATTATCCGTGAAATCTTCCCTGATTCTCCTCCTGCAACAGGCACAGATGAACCTAGACACCCCTGCTGCTCCTCACAATATATCGCGGTATGTCATTCCTGCTGGCACTTGGTATTTAATCATTTGTAGGTAATACTGCATTTCAAAAAACACTTCAGCATTTTCATTGCATGCTTTATCTCCACCTCTTGTCTCCTTGGAGGTAAGAGATGCATCTAATTCACCCTAGATATGTTCAGAAGCAACCCCAGTGGTTGGCACTCAGATGTCAATGAATGATGGATTAAAATTAGATGACATTGTCCTTGAATGGAGAAGCCATCCAAAAATCACTCAAATGCAAGCACCAAGCAGTGTGTTATGCAAACAGTCGGTGCTAAATAAACATAAAATTCTTCCATCCTCTCTCCACCCCTCAAACAGTGAGGACTAGAAAAGAGGTGCAATGTGTCCATTGAGCCTGAGGTTTCTGAAGATCTGTGCTCCATGGTTCACAAATACAAATATGTTGGCGTGGTGACTTTTGATATTCTCCAGGATAAGACAGGAACGGAAATCCCATGTTTGGATACATTCTACTTTCCATAGTCAGAAAATGAGAGTTAGAGCTTTAAAGATAGACACGTCCTCCAAAGCGAACTACTACAACCATCTCCTTTTACAGAGGCAAATCACAGAGGCTCGTTGACTCCAGGTCATAGGCCAAGAAGGGTTGCTGTACAGATGCACTTTCCCTGTTTCCTCCTAGATTTGCAAATGAAGCCTCTAGGAAATTGAGTGCTCTCTGAATGGCTAAAAATAAACTCACAGAAACTTCATCTAGATATATCACGGCTGTAATTTACAGTGTCTAGAACTTTGGCATGATATAATTAGCAAATGGATTACAATAATTTATTTTTGGTTTAAAAGCTCGAATGAACACAACCTTGCAGTGGAATGGGAAAACAAGAGGCTAGGAGCCAGCGACATTCCTCCAGCCCCTTCCAATGCCACAATGTTTATGCTGGCTGGCAGCCCTCTACTGATGTCCAGCAGACATGCAAAGAGAAGGGACTGCAACTCTGAGCTCCGGGCTCCCTGAGGCATGACTTCCGGAATACAGCCTCCCGAAAGAGTCAATGTTCATCCTTTCAATAAGCAGGAAGATGTGCAAACTCACCCTTTAAATGCATAGGAAAGCCCAAAGGCATTCATCATGAGGAAACAAGAGCTACCAACCTTAAACCAATGCAGAAGAAGGGCATACACTGAACAAAACATACCAAAGACTAATTACACCAAAGTTTTTTCTTCTAAAGATTTTGGGCACATTTTCAGAATGGCTTTCCATCACTTACCTTACTGCAGGGAAAGTTTGTGGTGATGTCCCTGAACAGGCAGTACCAAAGGATGGTGCCAAGAAAGACACTTTTCACGAAACTAGAAGAAGACTAGACCAGGGTCAGAGTGGACCTGTGCTCAGGTTTTGGTTTGTTACCTGTGCCATGAATAACAACCAATTCAAAACCCTTTTATTAAAATATCAGTAGTGGATAACTACCTAGATTGTTATGGGGATTAAATGAGAAAAATACACAAAAAGCATTTTGTAAATGAATTATTAGATGATTCTTCTTGAGTGAATACATTGCTAAAGCAGATCTTTCTAATGAGGACTTTTTCTGACCAAGCACTATAGAACATTGCAGCAAGGGCCAGAGGCAGAACAGCAGAAATCCTGGGAAGATGTCTTCTCATGTTTCCCCATGTGGTGTCTGGGCAGAGGCAAGTCACCCAGCAGAGCAGCTGGAGTTAGGAAAGAGGGATCATGACTTGCATAAGGAACACAAGACAACCTGTCTCCCCAGTCTCACACCCCTACCAAAACCAAGTTATCTGCGCAAACACCCCTTAACCTAGAAGGCAGCATGATAGTGTCCAGGCAGAACCTT